GTCAGTGGGACATGCCTCGTCCCGCGCGGCTCGGCGCGGCTTGGCGCCTTTACGGCGGGGTTACGCAAGGCTTAGTGCCAACGTCCCTAGCGCCGCCACCTTCCTCCGGGAGGCAGGCAGGCAGGCAGGCAGGGCGCCCCGCGGCCAAGGCCACTTCCTCCGCGTCGAGGAGGCGAGGCACTGCGAAGGGCGCCTCTCCCGACGCCTGGGCCAAGCGGCCTGGCGCGTAGGGCACCGCGTCGTCGCGAGCCGACCGATTCCCACGCTCCGTCTCTGTCGCACTCGGGGCGTTCCGTGGAGAGACACAGCGACGAAACGGCCCTTCGGAATCAGAGCAAGATGGATGGCCGTCTCGGAGTTCGTCCCCAGGAGCCGCACGCATACGCCGTGCGGACCGACTCGGCGCAGAGTTTTTCGTCGCTCTGTCTCTCTCGCTCCAATGCGAGTGGGTGTGAGAGAGGCAGGGCGACGAAAGCACTGTTCGGAATCGGCCTGCTGCGGCTGGACAACAAGGAGGGAAACTTGGCGGCGGTGACCTATTCCCCCCGGCGCCGCGCGGCCACACCTGGGGCCCGGGGCCTGGGGCCTGGGGCCGGCGCGCGCGGTGCCGCCGTGGTGCCGCGGCGCCGTGGCCTTGGAGAGGCACCTGCACTGGCACCTGTACACTACACTGTACTCCGGCGGCGGGGGTCGCGGTCGCGGCAGAATGTCATGTCCATCCCTTTCTCCGGCGAGGCGGCGGGCGGCGGGCGGCGGTACGCACCTGAGCCGTCGGCCGCCTCAGGCCGCCTCGACGACACGGACGCCATTTAAGCCTTTCTCGCCACCGTGTGTCACACAGCCGCACTCAGGAACGCACAGAAATCCCCGCACGATCTAGGGCACGCACAAACACACGCACGCACCAACACATACACACACGAGCTCGCGCGCTGGCACACGAGCACGCGCGCACGCCGCGCCCATACGTCGCGGCACGGCCAGGCGAAGACGGCGCCGACGACGATGGGTGTGGTTCGGAGCGCGATGCGCGATGCGCCTCGCCACAAAGAATGCCCTCCACGAAGAGGCGCGGGCACGGGCGTGGCGTGCAGTGCGCGGCCCGCGGCGGAAAAAAGAGGACGGACAAATGAATGCGCCCACCGAGGAGACCAAGGCGATCGAGCGAGGGAGAGACAAATGCCCCCGTAGCGGTGCATAGCGGCCCAGCAGTGTGATGACACCGCAACATGGCCCCGCCTGCCTACAGCTCCTGCAGCCTGTCTGCCGCCTTCTATCCATTTCAGCAATTTCATGGTGTGGCCGCACTGTTTGCTGTTTGCCCAGCCAGATTCAATTATTTTCGTTCGGGAGAGCAGCAGAGGCGGCGGCGCGGCGGCGCGGCGGCTCCTTAAGGCACGACGAGCTGCCCTGGTGCAATCGCTCACCCAGAGGACCACAACACGTCCCTCGCTCTGGACGGCCCGCTTCCTGCTGCACGGCCGCCTCACCCCGCCCCGCCCCGCCCCGCCCCGCCCCGCCCCGGCCGCGGCCGGCTCCAATTGGATCACTTCGAGCGAGCGCGGACTGGCCGGTCGGCCTGGCCGGGACTGACCATCTTGAGCCGAGTCGGTACTTATGTCAACAAGCGCGGCACGCGGCGGCCAGCGCGGCTGGCGGCGTGACGGCGACCGAGTGTGTCGGGGACCTGAAGGACGCCGATAAGACGCGGCCCGACCGTCCACCACGCGCCGTACGGAAAGGGCGACACGCCATAACGAAACCGCGGGAGATTAATTTAGTCGAGTCTCGTCCGTCGTCGGCTAGGAGGCGGCCACTCCCCCAGCAGTGCGGAGCCGCAGCCACAACGCTGCAGCGCCTTGCAGCGCTTCATGCGATGCCACAGCGAGCGAGACTACGACGGGGCGGCGCGCCGAGGCGGGGCAAGCTGCAGCGCTGCTGCAAGCGGTGAAGTCATCGACGAGACTGAGCGGCCGCTAGTTGCGCGGGCTGCAGTCCGCAGTGGAGTTCTCCTGCCACCCTCTGCTGGCTGATTGGTCGCTCTGCCTCTCTCGCACCTGTTCAGAGCGCCCCATGAGTGCGAAAGAGACAGAGCGATGAAAGCGCTCTTTCGGAATTGCCTCGATCGGCAGACTCCCTGCGCCACTGACCCTCACGCCGGTGTCGTCGCCATGACCCCCGGCACGCGGCACGGCGGCACGCCAGTCGACTCCAGTTCAATTTACTTCCTCCGTTCGGCAAGCTCTGCTGCGAGTCCCTCGTCACCGCGACCGGGCGCTGCTTTTGTCGCTGTCTCTCTCGCACTCCGGTGGAGCGTTCCACGAGTGCGAGAAGGACAGAGCGAAGAGACCGTTCGGAATCGGACCGCTGCTGAGGGCCAATAATTCAATCCGCGCTGCCTGCTGCTGCTGCCCCTCCCGGCGCCACGCCGCCATGACCGTCTCGAGGAATTCTAGGAACGAACTGCGAGAACTGCGAGACGCCGGAGATGTCGTGCTGCCCGCAATGCCGCCACGGCCGTGCGTGGCGCTGCGAGGCACTGCGAGGCACGGCGTGGCACTGCGAGGCACGGCCCGCGGCACAGCGGAGTGGCGGAGTGCTGGAGCTCACGGAGCGCGAGGGCAAGTACCGGTCAAGTGGGGGCCATGCGGCCGGGCGGCCAGGGCCTCGACCAGGACAGCGCGCTCACTTGACGTCCACAAATCAGCAGGCCTATGATCGGCGGCGAGGCAAAAAGGATCAAGTGGCGACGGCGAAAGGCAAAGCTCGGGCCTGGCCGAGGGCCTTCTTGGAGTCCTCGAGAGGGCCGTCGGGCCGACCCTCTCGGCGGCACAGCACTGGGCTGCCCATTAGAACCTCCGCCGCGCTGCTTTCCGGGCGCAAGCGCCCGCAAGCTGATTGGGTAGAAGCGTTTCGTCGCTCTTTCTCTGTCTGCCCCAAGGGGCGTTGGGCGTTCCGTCGGAGCGCAAGTGAGGAGGGAAGTGTCTTCGGGGTCGCGCGGCAGCACCCGCGCGATAACCTCCACCGACGTCGCCAAGGTCAACGGTGCAGCGGCCAGGCCGCGCCGGCCAATCACAACGAGCCGTTCTCAAATTGCGGCGCAAAAATAGGGCGTCGCCAAGTCCAGGCGTCGCCGTGCGTTGCATCGGCTGAGCCATTTCCGAAGGATCGGTCGCTCTGTCTCCGTCGCACTTACGGGGCCTCCCGAAGGGGTTTGAGAGAGAGACGGCGGCGAGGCGATCCTTCGGACGCCGTGATTACCGCCCTAATCCGTAATACGCCGTGACGCGCCGAGGCACCGCGGCGATGGGCGGCAGTCATTATGGAAATGGTGCCCTGCATGATGCCCTGCATGATGCCCTGCATGATGCGGGCCGGCCTGACGCAGCCCGACGCCGACACTGCGTCGTGTCCAGCGGCCTCTCTCATTACGGCGGCCAACACTCGAGGGAGCGGCCGGGGCCGGGGCAGCGGCCAGCGCCACCTGGGCGATAGAACTTGGAACTCAGGTCCTAGCAAGTTCAACTCGAGAATCAAGGACTACTGGAAAAGGGCGAGAGGGCCGCCTCCGCCTCGCGCCTGGAGGCCCTGCAGGGTCTGAGGTCGGCGAAGGCCGCCACCGCAGAGTCCCCGCGCGACCAAGGCGCCTCCACCGCGGCGTCGGCATCGTTTGCGTGCCCCAGTGCACCCCGCACTATCGCGGTCCCCGGGTCGATGGGGCCACGCGGGCCAGGCCCGCGGGTTGCCTACGTCGCGGGGGTCAAAGACGTCACAAGGCTAGGCGGGGGCAGGCGAGCCAGACGCCGAGGCGGCCGCGGGGTTTATTCGCCATAACGCGTCACGCGCACGTGGCGCGTGCCCGCCCCGCCCGGCCCGGCCCGGCCGAACGCAGGCCCGCGTGGGGTCGGCCCGGGTCGGGGTCGCACATGGGGCTGCCGCCGCTGCCGCCCAAACACGGAAGGGTAAATAAACACACGGAGCCTCGCGAGGTGCTGTCACCGCCTCCTCCTCCCGGCCGTCAGCGCCCAGCGGCGTCAGCCGGCGTCAGCGCGTCAGCCCAGTCGGTCCTTCCCTCTTCCCTCGGACGGCAATCGCGCGCAGCCCGCGGCGGGAGAACAAAAACAAAGGTGGCGAGGTTCGAAGGAGAAGGCAGGGAAGTGCAAAAACGGAGGCCAGGCTAGTACAAAAACGAAGGCCATAGGGAAGTACCAAAACGGAGGCCATAGGGAAGTGCCAAAACGGAGGCCATAGGGAAGTGCCAAAACGGAGGCCATAGGGAAGTGCCAAAACGGAGGCCATAGGGAAGTACCAAAACGGAGGTCAGGGAAGTACAAAAACGGAGGCATCGAAGTACAAAAACGGAGCCAGCGAAGTACAAAAACGGAGCCAGCGAAGTACAAAAAACGTAGGCAGCGAAGTGCAAAAACGGAGGGGAAGTACGTAAATGCGCCCTGGCGTGCCATCTGTGCTCTGTGGTGGCGACGCGTCGAGTCGAGGTACGGCCACACCGTGCCGATTCGATATTCGATATTGAAATCGAAAATCGGTCGCAATGTTGGTGGCGCCTAGCCCTGTGCGCCCTGTGGGAGGGTCATTACCGTTCGCGCACCCCGAGCCGAGCCGAGCCGAGCCGAGCCGAGCCAAGTCAGGCCGAGCCGAGCCGAGCCGTGCGTCCACTGGCGTCCACACAGAAACCCCCCTCCGCACTCCGCCTCCCTTTCTCGGCTCGGGGACTAATCGGGAGCTTTGCTCGACACAGCGTAGTGCAACTCCGCTCGCCCACAACAAGCTGGCCGTGTCGGTGGCAGCCCTGGCCGCCTTGCCCTTGCTCTGCTCCGCCTGGCTCCGCCCCGTCCCCGAGTGGCCCAGTGCCCGCCCCTCGGCCCTCGGCCCGCCCCGGCCCATCCGGACAAACAATAACTGTGTCACTTCACTTCGCTTCCGTGGCGCCGCCGCCGTGCCACTGCTGCCGTGTTTGGCGACGTTCACTTTTCACTTACCGACTGACTGTCTTTCTGCTGGTTGTTGATGTTGATGGTTTTGTTGTTATTGTTGTCCAGTGGCTGACGGCGACGTGACTGCGTCCTCTACCGCGGTGGCACCATGCCGACGGCTCGATGCGGGCCCGTGCGGGCCTCGGACTCGGGCTGCTTCAGCTCCGCTCCAACCTCGTCGTAATCGGCGTGGCTCAGATTGGACGGGAAGCACATACACACACAAACACACACTGGCGCGCTGGCGCTACTGCCTCGGCGCGCTGCGACTTGGCTTGCTATGTGACCCGCTTCGATTCCGTCCGGCCAGCGAGTCGGGCTCCTCGCACTGTTCGCTGCTGTTCGCTCCGGCACTGTTCGCACTTTGCTCTCGCGGGGACCGAGTCGACGGAGTGCGCTAGCGCGGCTAGCGCCCACGGCACTGGCAGCACGAGCACGAGGCTCGGGGGCGCCAAACTCACGCCGTGCGCGTCGCCCGGTCGTCGGCTGATGCATTCACTGGGCGTGTGCCCAGGACGTCCAGGACCCCACCAGGACCGCACTAGGGCGCTGTCACTTCCCTCGTCGCCGTCGTTGTCGCTCCCGCGGCGCCGTCCTGCAGGGCATGCCCCTCATGGTCCGTCGGCATCCTCGCTCACGCCCTCGTCGACGAGGGTGTGCGTCGTAATCCTCACTGCTGGCCTCGCCTCCTCATTCCTCAGGGCGTCGGGGCGCTGCGCTGGGAAGAGGGGGGAGAGGGGGGCGTCGCGCGTTGTGTGCTCGGTCCCCCGTCGGCCACGTATGTGGCGCCGTGCCTTGTGCCCTGTCGCGGCGACGTCTGCCCACCGACTGCGGCGGCAGGACGGGGCCCCGGCCCCGGCGTGGGCCTGGCCTCGCGAGAGAGGGGGAGTGGGGGGCCTCCAGCCAGGGCAGCTGGGGGTGGAGCAGCGGGCAACCCCCTGCGGACCCCGCGGGAGACGGGGCGGATGTAGGGGCACAGCTGCCGAGTCCAGGGGCCAGGGGGGAGGGGGTCGCACCCATGGGGTGGGGTGCGCAGTGGCCCGAGAGGTTGGCGAGGCAGCTGCCATTCCCCAGCACTTATCAGATTTCTGCATGCTAAATCACAGTGAAGCGAGAACAATGTATTTGCCATAGTTTGGAAATGGAACTCCTCTTTTTTCTCTCCCTTAGCTCGGGTCCATGAAGGTAGCGGGAAAGGCGCTTCCTTGTTGAACTCAAGCGGGAGCAGGGCCCACGCTGAGCTGGGGGAGCTATCGGGGGAAATTTCTTGTTTGCTTGAAATTACGCTTTGATCAAATGCAGCCGCATCTCACGAGCTCAGTTTGTGTTTCATAGTGGGATTTCGTGGGATTCGCTCAGGGAAGTTCAAGAATTCCCGCTGTGGAGTGCGGAGGTATGAGAAGTTTCTGAGTCAATAAAACAGTATTCTTTTGTTTTATCTGTCATGTCTGCTTGTGTTTGTTTACATCTACATCTTTTCGTAGGTTGTTCGTTTATTACTTCATTATTTCAATCATGAGCGGAGGCTTGGCTCCGAGTAAAAGCACAGTCTATGTCGGCAACTTGCCTTTCTCCTTGACAAATAATGACTTGCATAAAATATTCGAAAGATATGGTAAAGTAGTGAAGTAAGTATGAGCACCTTGCATGTTTCTAAAAATATTTTGTACATCAAAGGCAACTGCTAAGCTATTTTATTTCTTTCAGGGTAACAGTTAAAAAAGATAAAATAACGCGTAAAAGTCAAGGAGTGGCATTTGTACTTTTTCTTAAAAAGGAAGATGCTCAGGCTTGTGCACAGTCTCTGAATGGCCAGGAGGTAACAAAATAATATTGCAGTCAAGAAAACCTCTTATCAGTTGCTTTATAACTGCTTTAACACTTTCTTTGTACCCAGATGTTTGGTCGCCGGCTGAAAAGCAGTATAGCACTAGACAATGGACGCAGTACAGAATTTATAAGACGTAGAAATTACCCAGACAAAAAACGTTGCTACGAGTGTGGAGAAGAAGGCCACCTTAGTTATTCTTGTTCTAAAAATGCCTTAGGTGACAGAGAACCTCCTCCCAAAAAGGAGAGGAAACGAAAGAAAAACGTAATGAATTTCTTTGTTCCTGTTTTGTTTTTGATGATTGACATACTTTTTTTAAAATGTTGCCTTGTTCCTATCCAGGATGTGGCCTATGATCCCGAGAGAGAGGAATATTTTGATTCTGATGAGGAATTGGAGGACCGCCCATCAAAACATAAATATGCACCTCATCAAAGTAGAGAAGTTGAAGAGGCAGAAGAGGAGGAAGTTGAACCAGACTTGGAAACACTAAGTGCAGCAATCAGACTTACTGTGAGTTATGCTCATCATTATTGTGCTCAGTCAGTATCTCAAGGCTTGATCTCACATTTTTATTATCATTTCAGCAAGAACAAGTTGAACTTCAACAAACTAGTCAAAAAATAGAGGATACCCGCCCTAGAAAAAAGATCAGACCCAGTTCCTACTTCAGCGATGAAGAAGACATCAGTGATTAAATTCGTTGAAGGATTAATAAGTTACATCATCTGTTCTTTATAAAATAATGAAAACCTTTATTGTGACAATAAAACTTTAGAAAGACCATTCAGGATTAATTTAATTTTTAAAATAATAAATAAGGAACAGAGGCACTGCTTTCAGACATTTGCTCCAATATATCAATTATACAAACTGTAAAACACATAATTTTTTTAAAAATAGTTATGTACACGTATATATTTGCTTTCCCTTTTTTCCTTTAAACTTTTGACATTTGAACTTAACAGGAATCATTTAATTTATTGCTGGCCCTCCAGCGAAACCATTACACTGTTTTGCAAAGGCTAAATCTTAAAAAAGCCAAATGTAATCACAAGAGAGAAATTTTTATCCATTAAGAGAATAAGACATTGACTTGATTACAGACCTGAGAGAAAAATACAGATCTTTCCTTTATAAAATTGCAGCTCTTCAAGAATGGTTATTCTTAAAGACAGGTACAAAACTTAAATATTATCCTTGGGAAATGGTTAAATCGGACAGATCAGGAACTCCTCTAATATCTAAGCATTTTTCATTAGCCAAATGAAGCAGGCCGACAAATGCTAGTGGGCAGCTGAGATTTTCGGTCATCTTCTGAGGGAGACTGACAGGCAATGTGTCATATAAAGTTCTGAAAGTCACTGTGTCTTCCATTCTTGATTTTTCAGCCTTCTGGCTGTCTTCAAGATCAAACTGCACACACAGAAAAATCGACATCATTATTATTATTATTGAAAATAAGGTATTTTAAACACATAGTACATCTAGGATATTGCTTACCTCAGATGAATGGGTTAAAACTCCCCACATGGCTCCTTTCAATTTTTTCATGTCCATTTTCTTTGCTCTCATTTGGTAAGGAATATAAATTTTAGCCACCTGTTATAAAAGGAGATTATCACCATAAATTGACATTTGACCCTTAATTCTAAAATCTATATGTAGTTTATGACCATAACAAACCTTGTTTGGAGCAGCAATGAGGTTATCACCAGTAAAAGCACCAATTTCATGCTCTTGGGCCTCAATGTCAACATGCCCATCTTGTGATTGGAACATATCCTCATCCTCATGAGCCATGCCATCACCAAGATCCGCTCCATTGTCATGGTCATCATCATCATCTTGAGCAGCAGGCTGTAATTAAAGCTTTTATTAATTACATCATCATAATTTGTGAACAAATGATAGAGAACACCTAAAATGCTTGTACATACCACATTGGGACAAAAGCTAGCTTGATCAGTGGGGTTGTCATATTGGTAATCCCCAACCCCCTCATCTACTTCAGGGGCCGCTGAGTCATCACAAGCTTTAACTGAAATACTCTCACGGATAAATAAACTGTATTGGAATAAAATAAACATTTAAAAATTGAAGGATGATGGAAAGTCATTGAGAAAGATAAAATAGAAATTACATACCAAGTTATTCTATTAGCATCATAATGAATATCATGGGGGTTTGTAATACGATCAGAAGCCCAACCCTGAATAGTCTTCTTGTTAAGTTTATTAGCAGTGCTCCCAAAATGTTTTTGAATCTCATCGCTTTCATCTTGGAAATTGAGTTCTAATTCTTTTCTGGTACGCTTTTTGGTCTGCTTGGTAACAGCAACATCCTTTTCTTTATCTAGAATAACCAAAACACTTTAATTGTTGGCAGAGTTTCTACTTTTTAAAATGATTAGTAACAATAAAAAATTCCAACCTTTCCGTAATGGTTTGACTTTCCAGTGCGCAGGACCGGCCCAAAGAGACATCATGCTCTGTTGGAAGTAAGAATATTCAAGAGGAACAGCAGAAAGATGCTGCTTTAAATCTACAACGTTGGCTGGTTGCCTTGCAAGCTTAGCTGCTGCTCTGTTAAGGGCATCAGGAGCTGCATAGAATTCTTCATCATCTGATTCCAATCCTAGAAAAATAAAGACAAAACCAATGATAAACCAGTTAACTTTCTTACAAGTTAAAATATATTAAATTAGCAACAAATAATGACATACCATTATTATCCAATCCGCCTCCACCTCCAAAGTCCACATCAGGTATTGGTTCGGGAGTTTGGTTCATATCAAATACATGATCATCATTTAAGTCTGCTAGCGGCTGTTGGGGTGGCGGTGGTGGTGGTAGGTCCAATGCAGGTCTTGGGTCATTCTCTGGTACCCATCCAGAGAATTTAAAGTCTCGAAATGATGGGCATATCTCCAGGTTTTTTAGATCTAAATGAAAAACCAGAGAATAACAATAAAACAACACCAAACTCACCAAAAATACACTACCGCAAGAGAACATACCTGGCAAGGGGGGAAGTTCCACCAGTTTCTCCTGAGCCGATTTCCCATCATCTTTGACAGCTGCAGTTTCCCGATACTTTAATGAATGGTGAAAAGGACACTCCCCACTCTGAGATACAGCAAGATTCGCAGAAAGACGGACAAGAAAAGGGTCCATAGTCTGGTAAATCAGCTGCTTCCGTTTGAGAGAATCTGGCTTGTCAGCAAGAGCACTCTTGTGCTAAAAAAAATTAAAAATTAACATTAATTTTTGATTAAAAATGATTGTACTGTAACGTTTTGCAGAAAAATCTCATTTTACCTTCCGAGATTTCTTTTTCAATTTCTTTAATGCTTGGGATTGAGGTCCATCACCATCATCATGGTCCATTTCCCCACCATCTCCTACATTGCCATCTTCCTCTGAGGCCCTCTTCTTCTTATTAGCGTCCACACGCCCGATGTTGCTAGCCATTTGGACTACATCAGAATGCACAGCATCTACTCTGAAGCTGTAGATCTTTGTGCTAGCATCGAGAGTGCAGCTAGCCACCTTAAATACAAAAGTTTACTTCAGTACACGTAAAGAGGACCCACAGTTCAAACAGAATATCCAATCAATACAACTTACCTGGAAATCTTCCATTTTGTTATCATGACGTTTTAACATCATTGACATATAGTCAATAAGCTGTAGACTAAAAGCATTTTTCACAGTAATTTTATTTTCTGTGGAAAGCTTGATGCAGCTTGCATAATGTTCTGCCAGCTGTGCACTTGAAAGCCCACTGCAAGCACCAAGACCAAGGGACTTCCTTCGGTTAGCCGATTCAGGTGCTGCCGGAGTGCCTGCTGGATCAGGCACGAAGGACTTCCTTCTGAGCTCTCTTCTTTCTGCATCATCATCGTTCTATTGGAAAAGAATGATGTTCAAGAATATATGTTGCCACAAGAAAGGAAATAAATCAATTTAAAAGGACTTACAATAACTGTCTCGACAGTTTCCTTTGTATTTGCGAGAGCAAGTATAGATTTCTTACGAAGAGGGGATGCTACATTTTCGCTTGAGCTTAATCGACTTAAGCTGTTATCAAATGACATGATGTAGCCTGTAAAATATAAATTAATAATTAACCAGGTTGTACCAGACACAAATGAACTTCTTTTAATGCAGAAATGAACAAGGGTTTCCATCATTGAGAACAGGTTAAGAATAAGAGAGGATACCGATGTTGACACACAAATGAGGGACATGTCCACAACAACAATTACAAAAGGTGAGAGAGTTACAAACAGAGCTTTACATAGATATGCGGGATTTAGCATTCGCCGAAATAATTTAAAAGATGCCTCGATTTCCTTGTAACAGGTCTTGTTTCGGTCAAGAGGTGTTTGAATTCATGATCATAACAACTAATTGACTGAGTTGAGGGTTGGGGGAAACACTTACCTGAGTTGCAAAACGATGAAGAGACAGAAAATAGTAATCGACTAACGTATGATGACTCAAAAGAGAAAGTGGCGCTGAGACCAAAATGACCAAAATTCTTTCTAGATACCACAAAGGCAACTGATTTTTCGAAAAAGCATCGCTTGCTTGGTTCTTGATTCTTGTTCCCTCGTTTCTCAAAATTGCTGCCTACCCTGCAACATAAACAATTTCATCTCGAGTATGATCTTTCTGAGTATCAAAGTCAACTGTGTGTGGAACAAATTACATAGAATAAACTTACTTACAATCACATATAAATCATTTTATTCAAGTCCTCCAATCATGTTACAGTTTCAAAACTGGACCAGGAAAAACAGGGTCTTTTTTTAAACTTTCTAGTTTTGTTGGTACTCAATTTCCCGCCAGATTATCGCCCCTCCTCCCTCCTCCCCTCCCTCTCTCTCCCTCACCCATGTTGCTTTTCTCTTGCCGCTGCCGACTTGTTTCGTTTATACTTCGTACAAGTGGTACAGTGACTGACATTATTGCTTTGACAAATGTGTTCACCAAAGAAACAACGTAGCTGCAAGTCCTACTCGCTGTGATCGACGTTCATCATTCGTCATGGAGAGTGCAGGCGATGGGAATGCATCTAACCTAAAGAACTTGTGGGAAAGTTTGCACCTGCTTGTGACATCCAAAGCAAGTGAAAATTTTGCGGAAATCAATGATCTACGTGGAGCTCTTCTCTCAAACTTAAAAGCAGCAACCTCTGCTCTTGGCTTCGGGGATGTCAAGGAGATTCCTCGTCTGGGTGATGCCATCAATTGTCATTCCGACATTATTTGGGACTTCGTTGAAACCTCCTTGTTCGTTCTTCTCAAGCTGAAAGAAAAACTGATGGATGATGTTTTAAGTGTTTCTCAGCAGAAAGATGTTCGCTCATGCCTACAGTTTTTAGTATCGTTGGGAATACAGCCAAATTTAGTTCCAAATGTAATGGCCATTCCTTCTGACAGAAAGGCTCTTATGGATTTCTTGCTGGAACAATCTAGAACTGATATGCAAAAGTATGAACGCCTATGCGTTGTTGTAAAAGCTATTCTTGCTTGCTGTGAAAACTCACACTTAAGGTCCCTTATTATTGCTACCTGTATCAACCCTCTTCTAGTCAGCCTATTCCAGCTTAGTTACGCTCCTCTGAAAAAGCCATCCGAAGATTCAAACTCAATTTCCACTCCTGCCTGCGAAAGCTTTGTCATGACAACTGATATTTGGAATAGGTTGCAAACTGACAGGGCCTATTTTAAAATATTGCTACATCAACTAGTTAAAGAAACATACCAGCCAAAAATTATGTTTGAACTCATGATGCTGCAAGGAAATCAAAACAACTTTTTACCGCCACTGTGGCTGCGGAAATCTTCATCAAGTCTTCTCACATCTCGTTTAGTCCAGCCAGGTGGAGTTGCAGCATTAATTAAAGCTGCATTTGATTCAGCACCAGACACGGGAAGTGACTGGAAAAAAACTGATGCTTTAGCTAGAGTTATTACAAGCCCTATAAACCATTATGACAGTATTGCTTCACAGTTGTTTAAACTTGTTGAAGTGTCTCGAGATGGAGCGAGTAATATGCATTTTCTCATTCTGTCATGTATTAGACAATTACTTGATAAGGATGCCTCTGTCTGTCATAAATTTATTATTGGGCCTTTGCTGCAGCCGCTTGAGTATGTTTTCTCTTGTGAAAATTCACCTCAAGAGGAAGGAGACATCATACTGCCTGAAGAGAAATTGGATGCCTTATTCAAACAGATTCATTTATGTTTTACCCCAGGTAGTAAAGCTGCATGTGTGAATTTGCCAGGGAACATTCTTGCACCTTATGTTTCATTATTTTTTAAGCTGTTTTGTAAATTACATGGAAGTGCTAGTAATTTATGTAAAATAAGTGAAGATATTCTGTATCATATAATTTGTGATTGTGATCAATTAGCATTAACAAGAGTTTTGAAGTGTATATTGTTGAATGAAGTGGAAGAAGATACACTCTTACTTCCAGATTCTTTTGGCTTTCAATTTGGACCAAATGGAGGAGTTATTTTGCAAATTTGTTCAGAACCGAAGAAGGACTTGTTTTCATCTTCTGTTGAAGAATGTGGTGACATGCTAATCGCCTTTCTTGAGTTAAGAAATGACAGTGAACTTTCAGTTTTGGTTTTTGAAGTGCTGCTCAAATTGTTGATTGAAATGGGCATGAAACCCAAAACAGGAGTCCCCAATCTTACCACCCTAGGCACATTGGAAGACAACTTGGCATCATTAATGTTATCCTCAGAGAAACATCTGGGTGTCGTAAGACTGCTAGCAGCTTTGGTTGAAAATACCAATGTGCGCCAAAAACTGTCAGAAAGTCCAGAGCACATTTTGGCCTTCATTGTAAACTTTTTTGAAACACTCATCCATGGAGGCTCCCTCTCAGAATCTGGAGAAGATGAGGATTTAGAGTGTGTATTTGTGGCATTCATGGTCCTTAATGTCATGCTGGACAATTGTAATGAGACCACAGATTGGTCAGTGTTTAGCAACCTTCTTCATCCAGTCTGCATAATTAGAGACCAAACTAAAAATGAGGAACTTCAAAGATTAGCTTCTCGAGTTTATAATCTTGTTTCTACTTGTGGCGTTGTAGATCAAAATATTCCCAAAGGTCGTGAAAAGCCTGAGAAGACAGAATGTGAAGAAGCTTTCCATGATGCTTGTGATCCTTTGCTTCCTGTTCGTGGTCATGCCCTAGTCCAATTGACAAAACTACTTAAAAAACGTGATTCAGAAACATTGGTGAAAAAGGAAGCAGTTTTATGCCTGTTCAAAGAAAATTTGAATAATTCTGATTCGTTTATATATCTTGCTGCCATTAACGGCATTGTTGCATTTTCTAGTATTCATCCTGATGTTGCTGTAAAATCCCTTATTGAGGAGTATGTTGCAATTTGCTCTGCTGGAGACAATGAGACAAGAAATCCTGAGCTCCGCATGAAGGTGGGAGAAATTCTAGTTAAATTGGCTAGGGAACTGGGAGAGCTGGCTCCTAAGTATAAGAATGAGTTGCTAAATGCATTTTTAGTTGGCACGAAAGATACTGACCATCTAATGCGTGCATCTAGTTTGTCTAATTTAGGAGAAATATGCCAGATACTTGGCTTCAGAATTGGCCCAATATTAAGAGAGCTGTTGATCTGCATTCAAAGTATCCTGAAATTTGATAAAGCAGTTGAAGCAAGAAGAGCATCAGTCATGGTTGTTACTCAACTATTGCGAGGTATAGAAGCAGATATGTTGGATGTGCTACAAGATGCTGCCTTGGAGCTTTATCGTCACTTGAAAAGAGTTTATTGTGAGGATGAAGATGATGTGGTTCGGCTTCATGCTCAACTTGCACTTGAAGAACTTGGTAGACTAGCTCATGGTTTTCTTTTCCCCAAAATTTCTATGGAAAAAAAAATACAAATTCTTCCCTAGTATGTTACATGTATGTAAAATTTTGTACCTTCAGAATTACATAAGTTAGTGATCTCATTTGCTTTTGATTATTTTCCCAATGGTAAGAGGTAGAAGGAAAAAAAGACACAATTTTACTGAAAATAGTTTATTGTAAAAAAGAAAAGCAGTCTTGACACCTACATTGAAAGGATCTGAGATTAAGTACTTGCCACAAATAAATCTTAGTGGACGGTCCAATTGATGATTTACAATATACAAATCCCAAATTAAATAATTACAATTGTTTCACTAGTAGATTATAGGATTCGTACAAATGCTTCACATCACACAAATCAATGGAAATAAAATATACATACACTTACACAAATGGATGGATCACGAACAAATAAAATTAAATTGCTCTTTTGTACAAGGAAAGGAGCCATGGAACACAGGCTTGTGTCTACAGGAAAAGAAAACAGGTTAAAGAAGAGATCACAGAATAAAACAGAAAATGCTCAAAAGCAATTTGATGCAGTGAGGGAAAAGTGAAGGGCTATCATACAAAGAAAATCCAATGAAAATTTTTAAAACCAACCAAATGAGAGCTTGTGCATTACAGAATGCAGTCAACTACATAAAATCATTTGCAAGTATTGCAAACAGTATGTTAGTTCCAATTCAAATGTGATAATTTTTAAAATTGAATAAAAACGTTAGGCATTTACCCTTCACATTTCCTTTGCTAAAGTCTCTGCCAGTACAAAAAGGGTGGGTGGGGGAAGAGAGCAACAGGGAAAGGCTAAATTTAAGTAAAATGTGTCTCACTCACTCACACATTTAACCAAACATTTTTGTGTCACACTCATACATGGCCACAGACACACATTCACACAATCAGATCACAGTGAGAGGGGAGGAAATGGCCCAATTAAAGTCAATAAGCTATAGGGGTTTGGTAAGTTATTAGTTGAGAAAGAAAAAAAAAAAAAATAAAACTGGATGTAGAAGGAAAGATTTCAGGATCCAAGGGGAAGGAAAAGGAATTTGTTGGCAGTTCTATGACTTCAGCACTCCCACTTAACATTAAACTTAAACATTAGACATAGGTACAACCCTGCATGTATACAAATGATGAGATAAGTTGTTACTAAAACAAAGAAAATGCAGGAGGCGCTACAACATAATACTGTACAAAATAATACACTTGCAACCCAAAACAGGAAACAAGAAACAACTTTTCATTATCATTTAAGTATGTACAACACATTTACACAAATTTGATCCGCCTATACTCCCTTACACATTTTCACAGATTTGATCAAGATCTACTTGAACACCAGAAAAAAATTTGAGTTATACGATATGCAAATTAAAGCATTCACAGACACTAGTGCAACAGATGAGTGAGCCTTTCGTCACATTTATCAATCAGTACTGTCATGGAATTAATGTAATGATGTCAGTGAACGATTTCTATGCTAGCATAACATTTTAAAGTCTTATTGGTCCCAAAACATGGCCCTTCTCAAAAAATTAAAAAGAAAACAACAACAAAATCATTGCTGCAGGTTAAGAAAAACTGTCTTTAAGAGAAAAATGTCAAACAAAACTTCCCCAAAAGCTTGGGAATACAAATATAAATTTGTGATAAATTATACCACATTCAATAGAAAATGTCCCGCACAGAATATTATACCACTTTCTGAAAGAGAAGTAAAAGATTGTCATCAAAAACACATTTGTTTTGAAAAGAAAAGTTTCAGGCAGATAATAGCACCCTGTTTTATCAGTCTGATGTTAGGCATGCTGCCAGAAGTCATGTGAACACAAGAGATACAAAGTGAGAGATTCACTCAGTTACAAATTTGATTTAAAGAGTCCTAAAACATCACAACAAGTTTATTCAATTGATCTGACAAGTATCACTCAAAAAAGTGAGAACATTCTTTTACCAAAAATATATGTATATATTTATAAAAATGTATATAAATAATAATGATCTGTTTGTCAATATATATGCATATATTTATATTTATGTATAAAAGGAACATGATTTTATCTATTAACATTAAAAAAATGTACAATGCATGCGCCAGTTAGGAATGTACGTCATGGAAAGCCTTGTGATGACTCTAAAACTGAATTAAGGACGGCTTCAAAAAGAAAATCAAAGTATGTTTGAATCAATTAAAAAATGGCATTGAGACTGTAGTGAACATTAAACAGAACATGTTAGCCAAGAGTAACTTTAAGTTAAAGCAATCCTGTGAATTCAGTACATGAATTATCACAATGATCAACAAAGAGAGCCCAATGACATGACAAAGTTTACAAAAACAATACTGGCAACAAGGTTCCAAAATAATAAATGGCAGAACATCCAGAACCTCTCAAAGAAAAAAAATAATGCAAATATATCACCAGTCAGCTTTAACTTAATGGGTTATCCGAGCTCCTGTGCTATGATGCATAATCCTGCTGCGAAGGATGAACAGGTGGAGCTTTTCTGGACAAGCTTGCTCGATGTACCATTTCTGGTGGACCTGCATGTTCTGAATCTGCTAGAGATCTAAATCGGACAAACCCATCCTCTGCTACTAGCATAGATGGTGATGGCTGAGCTCTATGCATAGGAGGTGGCGGTCCTCTTCGAACTGAGGGATATGATAATAAAGCATCATTTGCTGATTTTATCATAACACTAGGGCTATCATTAGGCAAGCCCCCTCTAGGAGGGTACTTCTTGAGAGAATGTCTTTCTGGCCCATACCCTAGAGCAGCCTCTTGAGGAGATATGGGCTGGATGTTGTTGAGGGGATATGCATTATCATAGATCTTTCCAGCTGACCTTATGGAATAGTGATATCCACCCTGATTGGCGCAAACTGCTGGATAAATGTCATCCACTGGGTCATTTCGGTTTGCATGAGCAGCATCTCCCCCACATGAGAAGAGAGCAAAGGCAGTTGAAGACGAATTCTGGCTTTGTGTCTCCTTATCATCTTCATGTGGATTGCAGTGGCTTGGCGGTTGAGTTCCAGCCCAACAAAGCAGGGCACACATTGCAATCTCGATGACCCTCACAGAGAACTGGAAGCCCCACCACAACCATGGATGAGGCTGATCATCCCCAGGGGCTTCATACACACCCAACATGCCATACAGTTGTACAGCAGCCATCAAGACTGCCAGCAAGGCTGTGGCAAGCATGGAGCGCACTGCGTGTGCCAGGGAAGTCCTCTGAAGAAGTGGTGCCAACCCCGGTTTACGAGCAGCAGCAGAGGAGAGCAACTTGTAGACATACATGTAGCTCAGGCCTAACCCAAGGCAAACAACAATGAAAAGGCACTGGCAAGCCACTGTCAGAAGAGTTGAGTTGGGCGCGAGGCCAGTGGAAAGATCTAAAGTGACACACAGCACTAAGTACAAAGCCACAGCTGCAGTCAACATGCCAGGGCTTTGGAAGCGGCCTGTTCCTATATGCACCTCACAGGCACGCATCAAGAAAAGAAAGACGAGGGCAAAGGCCGTAGCAAGAAGAGGGAAGACAATGTTAAGAAGCAAGTGTGAAATAGGCTCTGGAAAAGAATGGCCAGAGTTATAGGCATCGTAAGACAGAAATCCACATCGAAGTATGCCTATCGTAGCAAGAAGACCATGGAGAGAGAGGAAGTAGCCCTTGGGAAGAAGCCTCTTCCCAACATTGAGTCGGAGAAGTGCGAAGAGACAATAGACTGTCAATATAGCAAAGGCTACAGCAATCATGTAGACATGGACATCCCACGCAGCTCCAAGAACTTGCCTTGCATTGGGCCTCATGTGCTGAGTAGTGTCCAGAAAGGAGTGATGTACAACACTTTCTGAATGCTCTTGAATGTGGGTCTGTTGAGGTGGATGAGGAGGGGCAGCAGGTGTGTGCTCCTCTGATGGTTCTGTAACACGGCTGTGGGCCCTCTTGCTTGTTTCCTCAACAGGAGGGGGTATTGTTGTAGTGCTTGTTGTTGAGGTAGTCCTGATAGTAGTAGCTCTTTCTGTGGACGGAGTTATAGTTGTTGTCTTAACTTCAGGTCTGAAAGAAGTCTGAGTGGGTTCCCGGCTGGAAGACTCTGTAGTCTCTTGGCGAACTGCATCCAACTTCAAAAATGGCTGAGACGATTCCTGAACAGTTCTGGGAGCTTTGTTTACTTCTTCTTGTCTTGGGCGGTTTGGACGGATAGGACTGCTAGGGCTTCCAATATCTGGGAAGTCATGCCTTCTCCCACTGCTGCCAGAAAGAATGCGGGACACACTTGAGTAATGAATAATTGGTACAAAATCAAAATCAGTCTCATTGTTAGAACGAGGGCTTGTGCTTTCCGTTGAGGTAGCTAATTCCGCATAAGCCACTTGGGCAACTCTGTTAAAGCTAGGAGTATTCAAAGCTTTCTTCTTAGAGTGAGTGACTGCGAGGTCTGGAGGGCGGATGGGAATGCGCTCCTCTTCAGGGGGAGCACGGTAGGGAGGTGGTGGTGGCGGAAGAGGTCTTCTTGCTACTGTACTAGGCCCATCGGAATTGCTACCTCTCAAAGTAGGCTTATCCGCAAACTGGTCCACGTATTCCGGAGGAAGAGGTGGCGTTATGAAGACCCTGCTCGGAGGAGCATACGGAGGCAGATCTTGATTACTAGGGCTTGTAGGTGCTGGTGACAGGTTTGATTCTGTCGTTGTTGATGGTATCGACACAGTTGTCAAAGGTGAAACTGCTGTTGGAACAGCAGCAGCAGCAGGAAGTGGAGGGGCGTTGTTTGGATTAACACTGCGCTTGGTGGTGGTTGTTCCTCCATAGGCCACTTTGTTGAACACAGCCGCTATGTCTTGCTCCTGCTCACTTAAGTCCAGCACCGATACCATGGCACCTGCACTCATAGCTGAGGTGAAACTCAGCGTTGCCAGCCCCAGAAGGGCGGCCACCACAGCACCTGTCATCTTCACTTCCACACGCGAATTCTGGCATTTGACCAGCATTGTAACTCATATGCACTGCATTTTAGTTCAATCTATCACTTCAATTAATATGAGAAACACTGAATTCTGATTAATCACTTCCTCTTCAGAGATGAACATTCGCTGTCTTCAAGGCATTCTCCCAGTCTAAATTTTTGCAAGAAGCAGATGAGTGTTGTCAGCCACCATCCCAAACCATCTTGATTGGCAAGAGATCATCATAGAAGGGGCGAACAAGAGACTTCTGACTTGGATTCTGTCTTCAGTCTTCTGTAAGCAGAAAACAAAAGTATTGTCAACTAACATTTCAGATAATAAATGAATACCTCAAGAATTAATTATTAGACTAAACTCATTCAAACTAAAAAAAAAAAATAATATTTTTTTTTTAAAAGAAAAAGGATAGAAGACAGGAATTTAACATTTGAAAAATTACAAAATATGCTTTGGTTTGCATAAAAGAACCGAGCCGAATGGAATTCACTTTAAAATTACAACTATGAGTGCATTTTCGAAACTAGACAAGAGTTTTCTCCATAATCACCGTGACAATTGGTCAACCCTCTCTGTGGTTGCACATCGCATTATAGTGTCACGCGAATTCCACAAAAGACGAGAATAACATCGTGATGCGACAACAATCAGGCACAAGAACGTTAAACACGCTTAAAAATGCCACCCAAGTGCCACAAGAAAGTCAGAAAGCGACAAAATCCTCAAATAGGTCGTCGCGCTGAGGTGCGACGGCCGAAGCCTAGGCTGGAGCACGGGAATGCAGCCTGCGCAGCGCGACCTGTGCGATCGTCAGTCCCCAGTTACATTGCCACAGCCGCACAACACACAGCAGGGCACACTCACAGAGCGTTTAAAAAATCACCAATCACGCAGGATGTAATTCTTCTGGTGATTTGGTCCAGCACTCAATGAAATTCAATGACACTCTTCTAGGCCTAGCGCACTGGCAGGTCCGCAAACAAAGGAAGTGAATGAACTCTTGGAAAGTCTAGAAAGCAGATTCCTCGGGCACAGGCTCACAATTCACATACACACGGAGTTGCACGAAAGTATCCGCTAACTTTTTTTCATATTTTAGACTTATTCTACCTTCTATTTTAAGGCGAAAACATCAAAATGAATAGGTCGTCTTGACTCGTTGTAAACTTTCACTGGCAGCCATTTGCATTCACTCCAGGAACACAGTGCATTTGATGCACATTGGAATGTCCACGGCCCCTGAGATCGTAGTTCCGCTGGAGATCTTTTAGTACAGTCTCGGAAAAGTGTCTAGTAAACGTCTAGATTTTCTGGTTTCCTCACGTGTAATGAGCATTAGTGTCATAAATATTTCCAGGAGAAAATTTAGTTAACTGATAACATGACGGCTGCTTTGAGGATTTCGTGTATCAGAGAAGAGAGAGATGGTCTCTCGTCAGCTTGGAGGTTAGTAGCTACGTGGCCGTGGCCCCCTCCCCTCCCCCACCGACAACGACGCACAGTGGCGGCAGGAGAATTATAAATGCCTTCGGCTCGGGAACGGACGCTGGGCCTGGCGTTCTGACCATGGTCGGTAGGAATTCGGAGAAACGAAAATACTCAGAATTAAAGGATATGTAAGCAAACATATATATTGAGGCGCACTCAGTAAGACATTTTTGAGTAAATCGAACCCCTTTTATCACGGATTAGCCGGTTTTAAACCTTAAAATGACAAAAAAGGAAGCAGCGGCGGGGGTCGACTGCAGTGTCTGGCGAAGATCCGCGTCGGGCGCTATCTGCAGGGCCGCTTTGTGGGCTCATTTGCAGCCTTGTTAAGCTCTAGAGGGGCAAAAGTTTGGGCTTGGATTAAAGCCAGAGGCTTGAACTGTGACCACGTGCATTTATTTTAAAACATTAGGTAGAATTATTTGCATTCTCCTACAAAGTCGGACTTCTTTAAGCCGTTAGCAGCGGTGACTTCGAATCACCGACCATGGTCAGAAAGTGTTGTGACGACTGTAGGAGAGTGCAAATATTTTCTACCCTAATGTTTTAATAAATCCACATGGCATAGTTCAAGCCTCTAGCTTTAATCCAAGCCCAAGTTTTTGCCTCTCTAGAGCTTAACAAGGCTGAAAATAAGCCCACAAAGCGGCCCTGCATTTAGAGCCCACCTCGGGCCTCTACTCCCCCTGGTGGCGGTCCCTCAGGACCCTTTGGTGCCACCTCTGCTCGTTTAGGCCCGCGCCCCGCCGTCCCCCTTGGGAGCTGTTGGCTTCCTTCCCCCGCCTCCCCTCCTCCTCGTCTCGTCGGCGTCTTCTGCCTGTTGCCCCCGCTACCCCTTTCCTCCACCGGCCCCGCCTCTTCTCCCCTAGAAGCACCCCGTCGGCGAGCCAACCCTTTGAGCCCGGGCCGGGCAGCATCGCGGAGCAGCGCTAGAGCTAGAGAGCTGGCTAGCTTCAGCACCGACGGCGTCAGCGGATCGCCGGTCATCAGATCATCGACGTGGTCTGCAACGACAGCAGCTCACAGTTCGGTCCTCCGCCCGGGTGATCCTGCAGAAGAAGAAGGATGCCGCCGGCCAGGAAAAGCCAGCAGGCTCCGCAAGCCTCGTCCGGCCCCTTGGGCCGCCTCAAGACTGCTATAACGGCGCTCACTTCCCTGCAGTTTTGGAAAGCCTTCCTGTTCGATCCGGGGAGTGTCTCCCTTATGGCATGCCTCTTGCTGTGTGTCGAAGTCGTTCTCAACATTTTTGTCATAGAGCGAGTGAGGTACACTGAAATAGACTGGAGGGCTTACATGCAAGAAGTTGAAGGTGTCTTGAATGGGACCTTCGATTACTCTCAACTGAAAGGAGACACCGGACCACTTGTTTATCCTGCTGGATTTGTTTATGTGTACATGGTCTTGTACTACGCTACTCAGCAGGGACGTAATATTAAAATTGCTCAGTACATATTTTTCCTTTTGTACATTATTATGCTCATGCTTGTTTTTCGCATTTATGTCAAAAGCAAAAAGATACCTCCATTTGTGTTATTCCTGTCGATCATTACTTCATATAGAGTTCACTCCATTTTTGTATTGAGGTTGTTTAATGATCCGATTGCTATGATTTTATTGTATGCCGCCATTAATTTGTTCATGGATGGACATTGGACAAAAGGAAGTTTGGCTTTCAGTGCTGCAGTGTCAGTTAAAATGAACATTCTTCTATTTGCTCCAGCGTTGCTTATTTTGTACCTCACCTCTCTTGGCTTACGAGGTACTGTTGTCCAAATATCCATTTGTGCTGCCCTCCAGTTGGTCTTAGGTAAGTTAGTGAACCATCTATGATTGTTATCTGAGAGAAAATTAATCTGAAATTTAATTTATTTATTGCTAAATGCTTTGTATGGATTCCTTGCAGGCTTGCCGTTTCTTTTATCAAATCCTTTTGCCTACATTGTTGGGGCATTCAACATAGGCCGAGTGTTCATGTACCAATGGACTGTAAATTGGAGATTCATTCCTGAAGAAATATTTGTAAATCGGGGATTCCACATAGCCTTACTCGGACTACATGTTTTTTTGATTGCGCTGTTCCTTCCCGAGTGGATAACTTACCTGAAGAGTTTTGCACGGTTGCGGCAAGTGCAGAAGGACTTGTACTCAAAACAGCAAGCAAAACCAGAAAGCAAAAAGAAAAACATCCCACAAAAGGAGGTGAGTTCGGTTTTACCATCAACATTTCTCTACATCACTGACCAAAATAATTCTTTAAAAAAATGTTCTTTGCAGGTTGACATGAGTGTAACATCTCGGCTCCTGCTTCTACCTCTATTCACAGCAAACCTCATTGGTATTGCCTGTGCAAGGTCTCTTCATTATCAGTTTTACGTATGGTACTATCATACATTACCATATCTAGTTTGGAGTTGTCCATTTACGGTACCAATGCGGCTTTCTCTTCTTGGTGTCCTTGAGCTGTGTTGGAATACCTACCCTTCCACAGACTTGAGCAGTGCAGGAATTCATGTATGCCATTTATTTTTGTTGATTGGCTTATTCTGCAATAAGTTTCAGGGTAGGCAGCCAGAACCTGATCCCACTGCAGCTGGCAACCAGTAATATATTTTTTGAACCAATATGTCTCAATGGTTGTGAAGTTTATTGTGTGCCATACACTTTGTATATAATTTGCAATGATTTTTATCTTCTGTGATCTATTTTGTAGAATTAGTAGGTTTTAAGTGCCTTTGTGTTGTTAATTAATAGTGTTATTGTGTCTTTCTAATTTATATTCAATTTCATCTGTATGACAATCTTTCATGAGAGCATTTTATCAAATTTATTGATATTGTCTCTCTTGACAAACTGATGAGTTTGTAACAAAATAAATTGAATAAATGGTCTTTTTCCTAACCAGTTTTAGCTTGTACCAAGTAAATTTTGTCATGCAGTTCATCTTAAGAAAGAAAAATTAATTTCTAGTTTTCAACTTTTGGCACAACAGCAGCAGCTTCAACAGAAGTATTTTCTGAACACTCGTCCAGTTTCCTTTTCTTTGAATAGTGTTGCAAGCGACTTTCAAGGCTCTCTGTTTAACACAATAATGATCCAATTAGTTTCCAGCATACTACAATTAGAGAGGAGGACAAAAAGTAAATACATACCACATGTTTGCCTTTGCATAAGTGGCTTGTAGATTTTTGATTTTACTCCTTGTATTAAGGTTTCACTTACATCAAAACTGAATTCTTGTTCTGTTCTTAATTTAGTTATCTGGTCCAAAATATCATTCAACATATTGGTCCTTAAAAGAAAAAGAAACATTTTGGTTTGATATTTTCCGTTCATTATCAGGGCTCACAACCACAACTGGATGCTGGCTTGATTATGGTACATACTTAATTGAAGAAAATGTCCACATTTTCTGAAGGGTGCTATGCACTTCATCCAGAGTTTCAATGTCAGTAAGCCATGATGAATCATCGAATGGGTACTGGCAATGAAATAGGTTTAAAGGCACTTCACTTGCCAGACTGTATTGAGGCTTCCTAATAACAAATAAGATAGGAAAATATTGAAACATTTCTGAAAAGTACAGTAACTATTTCACCAATCTAATTTTACAAACCTAGGATTTGCATCTATGTCAAGAAGTTGTAGCATTATTTCTGGCTGCTCATATCCTTGACCGACCAAAAGAAGAATGGCAACCAAACAACGCACTTGATGCCATAGAAATGCCGACCCAACAAGTGTAAGGACCATCATATCAAACTCTAAATTACAGTAGATAAAAAACACTTAACACAATGGAGACTGCTGTCTAAAAATTCAGTGGAAGAAGAAAAGAAAATTACAAGACAATAAAAACTTACGAGAATTGCTTTTGGTTTGACTGCAAGGTTGGATGTCTACACTTCTTACTTCTCTCACATAATTTACAACACCATTTCCTACATCCATTTTACACAGATTACGAAAGTCATGTGAGCCTAAGATATACTTTGCAGCTTTATCCATTGCCTACAAAAATGTAATGTTTTTTTTTTTATTAAAAAAAAAATACTGAAAACTTGGAAATTTGAAGTACGAGACAATCTTGTAACTTACTTCAAGATTTAAGTTGCCCCTTGGAAAATAATATTTGTAAGTCCGTTGAACACAGTCAAATCGGGCACTAAACTCAGGAGGGGCAGGCCGCCAAGCAACTGCCCTAATCTCATCGGGCAATAAGCGGTTTAAAATTTTACAGTATGGTATTTCATTGGCAGTATCAGTGCTCAATGAATAATCCTCCTTTAATTTACTTCTGACATCAATAGATATAACCTGGAATGGATAAAAGGATACAAAACTGATAAAGCATGCAATCATGATGCAACATACATAAAGAGTATTTCACACATATTGCAAAAAGAGGGGTCACTTATAACAGCAGTAAATCAGTTACCTGACCAAATGAGCTAACTCCTTTGTCTGTTCGACCACAACGATGATAGTTACTTGTCTGCCTATTTTCAATCAAACAAGCTTTAGTGAGAGCAGCAAAGAGATGGTGTTCAATTGTGTTCATTGTGTCTTCTTGTGTGGCATATCCTTGATAATCCCATCCAAGGTAAAGGATCCTCAGAAGAATATGTCGTCTTTTATGCCTGAATGAAAAAGAAGGAAGATAATTAATAAAATGACAAGAAAATTTTTCTACAGAGGAGGTCCAGGTAGCAACACAAAGCACAAATTAAATAAATTTTTACTTAGTGAAGTCAAACGGTCTCTTCTTAGGGCTGCATGATGAATTCACCGTGCTCTCTTCTGTGTGCTTTTTCAATAGGTTTCTTAATTGTGTGTTGCTGGCTTGCAATCGTAGGACATTTTCGGCTAATTCCTGAATAAAAGAAAAACAACTTGAGAGAAAGAGATGAGAATGAGAGGGGAAAATAAAAAAGAGAAGAGTAAAACACAGAAGCAGCTTTAATTTAGGCGACAACTTAATTTTCAACAACTGTTGCACTGCACACGGTGTTCGCAAATGACACATGCAACATCAACAATAGACAACCTAACCTTCATAAAATGTGCAGACACCCACCTCGTTCGTTAATTTCAGAAGGTCATCTTTGCTGAGATTAATCCGCTTTTCTCCTTTAGTCGCCATCTCTAAAGAACAAGTTACTTAGACTTACAATCAAGTCAAACTTTGGAAATTATACAAAATTCGCCTCCGAGGAGTTTGAATTAAGCAGAAAACAGTAAACCCAAACAAGTGACGGTTGATATGAGAAATTTCGTTATGAGAAACTTGCTTTTAGTTCACACGGCATCCAACAGGCAGCGCTGTGTGTACTAGCATAGCAAATGTGTTCCTTTTACGCTTGTACATTTAAACCGAGTCAGTGATTGTTTGTGTAGTTCGAGATTAATATCCTCCTTTTACTGAACGGAGGGTGTTCCCACCTCGTTCCGAGTTCATCCCTCGAGTTCCATCTGTACGCGCCCGGCCCCAAACGACGCCTGTGCTTAAGATTCAGCGAAGCAAGCCCACCTCGGCGTCTGTAATTTCTGTCCCGCTGTCTGTCTAGGTAAGTGAGCGTGTTTTACGTAACGCAACGCGTTCCGGACCGCATCGGCCGATTTTCCGGGCCTCTGTCAGGACCTACTCGACGCGGCGGCCCTAGCAGTGCGGGGGCGCCCCGTCCGCGTCTGTCAGCTCAGCCTGGGTGGTCGAGTGCCGCGGGGTTGAGTGCTGCTCTTGAGGGCAAGTTGTCAACGCGTTCCGGCGTCGCTCCCGTGTCGGTGCTCTTGTCGCAGGTACGTTGGGCTGTAACACCGTAAAACGTCGTCCCCATGGTGACGCACGACGCCGGCAGACGCCGTGGCCGTCTTTTGCGCCCCGTTCGCAGCGCGCGTCGGCGACTTGGCGGACTTGCGGTGTAGGTTGGGGCGCCGCGTCGCCATGCGAAGCGCGAGGCGCGTCCAGCAGCCAGGCGGTCCCTCGGCCGCAGCGTTTTCGCCGCTGCCAGTGTATTTACGCGTCGCGGACGCCCCTTGGCCGGCGAGGAAGGCCGACGCTCTGGCCGCCGTCATCCTGGCCGCTTCTCAAGCGCAGCCGAGTGCTTTCCAGGGCCCTTCGCCCAATCGGCGAGGTTAATGAATGGATGTGGCTTGAAAAATGGCGGTTGGCGTGGGGTCGGGTCACCGCCGCGGCCGCGCGCCGCCTCGGCCGCCATGGCCGCCGGCCGGGCCGTCGCCGTCGCCTGACTCGGCACCGGCTTCGGCTCGCACGCCCCGTCGCCGCGCGGTCAGCAAAAGTTCGTCGAAATACAGGGGGTCGCAACGCGCGGCTTTGCCTGGCTTTGCCGACGCGTCCGACCCGAGCGCATTTATCGCTGACATTCGTCAACCAGGCCGGCCATCTTATCCTTGACCGTTCGTGACGCCCTGACGGCCTGCCCGCGGTGGAACAATTTCGATCCGAGTCGCACCGGCGTTGAACGGGCAGGGCGACGTCGTGGACGCATGTTTTCATCTTTTCAATGGGAGGTGTGTTGTGTGGTCAGTGTAAAACGGCGAGCGTCAACAGACAGACCGGCTGGGGCTGGCGTTGGTGACTGACGGGAATGACTGGCGTCGAAGGGCGGGGGCGGCGCCCAAGGCACCCGGGCACCTTATCCGAAAAAAAATAAATTGCAATCACCTTTTTGTTTTTTGGCAGCTCTGACGACTCTTCAGACCGTTCTGTTCGTTCCTCAGAGAAAGAATCGGGTTTGGATTTTCCGGCGGATTATGCTCGCCTACTCGAGGCGGGGCATCGCCAGGCATCTCAAGGCGCGGGCCGCGCAGGGCCGCGCTTGCAGTGTTGCGAACTTTGATTGTTGAAAATTAAAATTAGTCGGTGTAGCGGTAGCGTGGCGGTTAGGCATGGCCGCGTGTGGCCGACCCGCGTCCTGCGCGATGGATGGGCGATAATGCTTTAATTTTAATCAATACTCCTCTCCCTCCACCCTCTCCCCCCTCCTTCTCCCTCTCTCTCCCTCTCTCGCGTCCTCGCCATCTCCGCCTGCCGCCTCGCGCTCACTCCTTTTTCTCGCAAGGTGCAAGCCAAGCTGTTGGATCCTGGACTTTGTCCAGCGACATGGTGGCGTGGCGTGGCGTAGTGTCCCCGTCGGCCGTCGGCCGGGCGGGATGTGCGGTGTGCCCCTGCCCCCTACCCCTCCCCCTCGCTGGAGAAACCTGTTTAGCTCGGCTGCATCTCGCGAGATCATTGGCATTTGCGAATGAGGCACCGTCCCTGTTTGCGTACGACGAGTCTGCGTCCTGTGTGTGTGTGTGTGTGTGTGTGTGTGTGTGTGTGTGTGTGTGTGTGTGTGTGTGTATGTGTGTGTGTGTGTATGTGTGTATGTGTGTGTGTGTGTGTGTGTCTTGTGGCTTTGGCTGCTGCGGCCGCAAGAAGAGGACGCCCTTGTTTTTACCGGTGGGCCGTCCCTAAGCCCGGCCTCCTCATTCCGTTTCTCTCGCACCAGTGCGGAATTCCCCTTACGAGTGCGAGAGAGACGGAGCGATGTTCGGAACCGCGCGCTGCAGGAAGACAGACTCACTCGTCAAGTCGGCTTTTGTTGCATTCGCGTGGCGTTACTCGGTAGTAGCCGCGTCTGCAGTGTGCACGATCGGCACATTTCCCTGTGCTGGCAAGACTATCCTCGCTAGACTTTCCGCAAGTGTTTGACACGGTGCACGATAAGCCACACACACACACACACTCGCCGAAGTCTACATGGCGTAATCTCCCCTCCCCCGCGTGTCTCTCGGGGTCAGTGCGAAGGCAAGCCCAGAAAGCCACGGACGCGAAGGAGAGCGCGAGAAAATGCAAACGAAAAGTAATCAGTTCATCATTTGGACTGCGCGGGGCCGTATTTGGCTGCGAAGCGGCGAAGCGGAGTCACGGTGCAGCCACGTAAACACACACACTGCGCCTGGCCGAGCGGAGACAGTGGGGCGTGCGTGTGTGTGTGTTTACGTGGCGGAGAGGAGTCGAGTCATTGTCTGGCCGTCGTCCTCCTCTGCTTGTCTCTGCTTCGATTTGCTTTGCATCGCGATGGTTCTCACGGCGCGATGTCCTGTCCCGCAGCTTGCCGAGGGGCGGGCGGGGCGGGCAGGGCATGGCCTCTGGCTACAAGAACCGCGTCAAGCGCGGCTGCGTCGCGCGGGGCGGGGCGGGGCGGGGCGGGGCGGGGCGGCCCGGGGCAGGCGCCGCCAGCTTGCGGGGCAGGCTGTGGCGGAGGAGCGCGCAGCGCGCACATATAGCTTGTGAATCCCCCTGTGGCGCGTGAGCGTAGAGTCGTACCGCGTCGTACGTGTTCGGGTCGTAAGTGTGTGAGTGTGTGCGTGTATGTGTGGCGGGAGTTAATCTCTCACTGCACACACACACACACACACACACATACACGCCCCACACACACGGCCACGAGCAAAAAGTGAGGAAGAAAGGGCGGAGCGCCATCGTTACGACTCGCTAAAAAAGCCACAGTGGGAGTTGTTCTTTTTCGAGCCTCTTTCTTTCTCTCTGCGTTTGAGTGTTTGAATGGACGGGAGCGCGGGACGCCCCGCGCACACTGGCGCTGCGTGTGTCCGAGTGTGCGTGGATCGTGGATCCTCGCTCCGAAGGAGGACGCCGGGGCGGTTCGGCGGGGGCGGCCAGCGGGCTGTTTCCGAACAGTGCCTCGTCGCTCTGTCTCTCTCGCACCTCTGCGGAACGCCCAGGGAGTGCGAGAGAGAGCGACAATGGCACTGTTCGGAGTCAGGCTGCAGGACGGCCAGGACGGACACGTCAGCGCGAATCTGCCGCGCGGGCGGCGCGGGCGGCGGGGGCGGGGAGGGGCGTCCGCTGGCCGTTCCAGCCGTGGCGCTAGAGAGCCTGACGCAGGCCTGACGCCGCACTCGCCGCACTCGGGCCGAGAGGCCCAGACTCTGCCTTGTCCAGGCCGTCCAGGCCCGCACGGATTCCAGAGTCCTGCAGGGCTCCTAGAGGGCTCCAGGGACGGCCGAACGCCGACGCCGCCCCGCTACCGCCGCCTGTAGACTGGTTCCGACAGTTCGTCGCTCTGTCTCTCTCGCACTCGCGGGCGCCCCCTTGTAGGTGTGAGAGAGGCAGCGACGAAAGCGACTCTCGGAATGAGTGTGCTGCAGTTTGTACAGTCTTCAGGTGACGCCGACGATAACGGACTGGGACGGGGCCGACGCAGGCCGGCGGGACGGGGCTCGAGATTAGAGAGCGAGTCTGCTTCCGCTGCTGCCGGAAGGGTGGAAGGACGCGGACCTCGACGCGGACCCCGACGCCGGCCGGGCTGGGGATCGTCCTGGAGCCGCGCCCCGCCCCCGCCCCGGCGCGCCCTTTTCCGGGCTTTCCGTCTCGGCCGGACGACAACCTGGCCGTCCCCTGCTTGGGCGGCCTGGGCCGAGTCGGACTGCCCGACACGCGTGTCGCTCCGTGTCGCTCGCCCGGCCCCTCATCCGCGGTTTAGCGGTTGTCGCCCCGCGTCCCGCCCTCTGGTCCCGCCCTCAACTCCGCCGAAGTTACCGCGCGTGCCGCCGTGCCGCCCCGCGCCGAGGGGAGGGATTAGCGGAGCGGGGTTGCAGTTTTGTCCGATGCGAGGACGGCGAGGACGCTCGACGCGCCGTTACGCAACGCCCGATGGATGCACTGACCCGCTACAGCGCCTCCACGCGGCGTTGGTCGCGAACTTCTCGCAGTGTACTGACGAGTACGCCGTGGCCGTGGCCGCACTCGAGCGGCCCGGTCAGGCGGCAAGATATCGCACTGTCGGAATAATTGGGAATGTGGTCGCGCCGCTGCAGCCTGGCGTGGCCTGGCGTGGCGGGTATATTGCCCTTGCGATGTCCCGTCCCGTCCCGCACGCCACGCCGCCACGCCGCGCACCGCTATTGATTGCCAAACTTGCCTCGCGCCTCCGCCGCGTCCACGTCCGAGTCCACGTCCCGCCCCGCAAGTTTCCACTGGATGGCGTTCGTGAACTCCGAAGTGCCGTTTTCTCCCTGCAGAAGTACGGCAGTGCGGCAGTCGCCGCGAACCAAGTTGGCTGACGACGCCTGCACCGCGCATCGCGCCTCGCGCCTCGAAAGGCGTCGCCGCCATGGTCGGCGCGACGCTCCCGCCCGAGGAGGGGCGGGGGCGGCCGCTGGTTTGGCGCGCCGATTTATTTGTTTTGTTAAAGACGACCGATTGGACTGCGGGACAAATTTTTTCTACTGTGCCGTTCTTGTGCAGTGCATTGGCCCGGCGGGGAGCAAGGCGAGCAGGGCCGGGGCGTTGCTGGCGCTGCAGTATCGCGCGGGGCGGGGCGGGGCGGGGCGGGGCGGGGCGGGGCGGGGCGGGGCGGCCGTCAACGTCAGCAACATCCACCGACGCCGGCCCACGCCACACCGCGGGAGCTTTTCGAGTCCTTTTCTCTCTATCTCCCTTCCTCTCACTCTCGTCCGGCGCATCGGAGGAACGCACGACGGCGCTGGCCGCGCTGGCCGCGCTGGCCGGACAGGGGAGCAGCCCTGCTGACGTCGCTCCGGC